AACTGTATAATTATCTCATCAAAAAGTTGATTTTTTTTTTTGAAAGGGTACACTTTTAATTACTTAATTACGTATATATTATATCGAGATCAAGAGAGAGATGACAATTCGTGCTTTGGGTGCATATGTAGGCATAACAAAGCTCAACTAAATTTGTGACATATAATAATGATTTAGATCTTTTACGAATTAATATATCGAATTCTCAAGAGCTTTGCTCCCAATATACATCTCGGGAATCTAAAATATAACATACAAATTTAGCATTCTTATATTAATGGTCAATATTTATTACTACTAATTATATGATATGCCTTAGAGTGGTTAACTAGAAATACAAAAATTAGAAAATTATAATCTTCAACTAGCTAGTTGACATCATATGGGGCTATTTGCATGAATGAAACTGAATATTTGCTGGATTGAGTTTGCTATATCATCAGCTGTGTACCTTGTTTCACCAGAAATCTGCAAAATAAATAAAATAAAAATTAAATATACTATTACATGAGGCAATAAAGAACTTGCTCATATTAAAGTTCATTTGGAGTATTTTAAACTTATGTTGCTTAGACTGTTCAAAAATATCGCTAGGTATTTATCGGATCCTCCAAAAGTAGTGCATTTTTGGACAATTCGGCAGGGGTACGACCAGAGGCGGAGCCAGGACTTCAACCTTGTAGGTTCTAGATTTTAGAACACGACTTCAAGTGTTAGTGACTGTGTTCTAAATTTAATATTTTTACATATTTGATGAATTTTAAACACCAAATATACTGATTGAGCAAAAACGATTGGATTCAACTGAACCCTAACTCCGCCCCTGGGTGCGACAACATTTTGGAGAGTTCGAACAACATAGCGTTAAACATTGTTACTATGTGAAAACAATTAGGTGCTATTATAAATACCTTGACATTGAATGAGTAGAGAACAGTTTGCTCAATAGTAGTAATATTTGTATGAAGAATATTAAGCTGCATATCTTCTAATGCAGCAATAGTCTTAATAAGTTGGCCAGGTCTTCTTCTTGATAGAATCTTGATCATTGCATCAAACCCTAAAAGTTTCACTTCAACATCAGCCAAACAAGACTTACTCTCAGCTGTTTCTTCTTGAATTCCTGCTTCAATATAATCATTTGGAAGAGGAAAGATTATTGGTTGTTGAGGAGTATTAGGGTTTTGAATTGATGAATTATCTCCTAATGGTCTTGGACCATTATCTCCATAGATTCTTCTCCTTTTTTGTGACTCAAGACATTGTAAGAGTTGTTCTAACTCTCTCACAAACTCAATTGCTCCACCAATAATTGATGCTTGATCTCCCTACAATAATGTCGAGGACATCAGTAAGTAAATAATAGTGTGTTATTTCTAACAATTTAATTAAGCTTTCAGATAAGATGGTCATTACACACTTCAGTATGGTATAAGAGCATGTCATAGAGGTTCTTTGTTCGAGTTTCACATACGACCAATAAGAAATTATCAAAAAGAACTTTAATGTCTTGGCACAAGAATTAATTAGGCTCACATGTGAGGGGACGCATTGAAGACATCATTAAAGGGCAGCCCGGTGCACTGAGCTCGTGCTATATACGGGGTATGGGGATGGGCCGGACCACAAGGGTCTATCGTACACAACCTTACCCTGCATTTCTGCGAGAGGCTGTTTCCACGGCTCGAACCCGTAACCTCCTGGTCACATCATTAAATAAATAAAAGTATGCTCTCTCGAACAGTCTAAACTTTTAGATAAAGTGGTCACACACAGTTTAATACTCTATATAAAAAACTTACGATACTATTTATTTTTCATAAACTTAATTTATAGTCAAGAATTTGTTACCCTTTGAACATAGGAGCCTGGCATGAGAGACCTCAAAACTCGAAGATGTTCATTCATTTGCTTTCTTCTATTCCTTTCCACAGCAATATGTGTCATTCTTTGGCTTTCAACTTCTTCAGTAGTCTTTACTCTTGGTCTCTTTCTCTTATTGCTTTTGCCTTCATTCCCTGGACTTCTTTCAATATTTTCACCAACATATGGTAATTGCATTGATGTATTAGCCTTTTCATCTACAACTTTAAATTTCTCTTCTTTTTGTGGTACCATTAGGGTTTCTTGATCATCATCTTGCAACGACTTTTCGTTTAAAACTGGGAATTTAAGGAAGTAAACAGGATCAATCCCCGCATCTTCCTCTGATACCTTGGCTTGATTTAAGGCTAATTTTGGTCCAAAATCTGCAAATTGCATCACATCCGCGAAGCTCAACTTGTCAAGAGAAGTACCAGAGGGACAAAACCCTAATGAACTCTCGTGTTGTTGTTGTTGTTGTTGTTGTTGTACAGAATGCGAATTAAGCAAATAATCAACCATTTGATTTGTATTATTTGCTACATGAGAAGTTTCACCAACCATTTGAAAAGTTGTAGGTAAAGAAGCCTGCAATAATATTTCATGTTCAAAGTGAAACAACATATATGGAGAGTCTAAAAATATAATGATATGTCAAAGTAAGAGATATTACAAACAATGGAAAATGATAAAAGGAAAACTGAGGAAGTACAAATCTCTCTATATATATGTGTGTGTGTTTTGTGTACCTGGCTGTTTTCTCTTTTCTCCATTGTATGTTTGTAGTTTCTTTGTTTTTACCCTAAAACTCTGACTGTTCACAAATTCATGCAAACTCAAATTTGATGAATTTCACTCTTTGGGTCCACCTGCATGAAACAGACAAATTCATCATCAAACTATCATGACAAGATTTTTAAGAAACAAAACCAAAAAAAAGATATTCAGGAAAATACTTCTTTTTAAATAATAATATTACTATGAAAATAAAATTATAAGAATCAAATGAAAAAAGTTGTATGTACAAGAAGCACCACGTTCCTCAAAATCAAGTATTTTCTTGACGCGGAGTATACTTTTTACGTATAAATCAACAAAAATTTCAACAGATATTAAATTCGAACCCATAATTTTAAAAGTACAATGAATTCAGTGTGAGTCCATCAAATTAAAATTTTAAATCCGTCCCTCATAAAAAAAGATAGAGATTTGAAGACTAACCTTTGGACAACAAGTAGTGGATAAAACAAGAAGAGGTAAACTTAAGTGAGATTTTGCTTGAAATAAGAACAAAAACCAAAAGGACAGACCAAAACAGATAATATATGGTGTTGAAGAGATTATCTAAAATGATGGACCAATTTTTCCAGCTAGAAGTTGTCTTTGACTTTTATGTGATATTTGTTTGTATTTATATATCTCTCTATATATTAAAAAAATTAAAAATACATGCATATAAAGATATATATATATATACATAAGAGGAGCCTGTGGATTAATTTCCACCTCACAAATTTACTCACTTTTCACCTCCACATATTAATGTGAATCACAGGCAGAACAACTTTACCACCTCTTTACATGAGCTTTTAATAAATACTTAAGCTCTGATATGTGATTTTTTATGATTTTGAAGAAATTGAATTTTTTTCAAAGTTTGAATTTTTCTTTGGATTGCATATTGGAGATATTCCTTTTAATAAAATTCATGCACGTGAGCACTTTAGCAGCCTAGAAATTGTCAATTGAAAAATTAATGTACGAAGGTGAATTGTCATCACTTGGACTTGCTTCATCGTGGGGCAAGTGAAACGAGACAAAATTTAATTGGTTTTTGTACTAAACTAATTAATATAAGGTAGTGTTGTGTATATGAATTTTTATTAGTTAATTATATTTAATTAAGTGATATATATTTTTATTTTAATCTATAACTCCTAAGATTAAATTATTTAATATGGTGTAAATATTAAGTCTTGAATGAGCATGATTCCTAGGGCTGTTCATTCGGATCGGATGTCCGAAATCCGAATCGATCCATTCAATTTTGAATTTCGGATTTCGGATTGGATCGGATTTCAGATTATGTTTATTAAAATTTCGGATTTCGGATTGGTATATTTTAATCCAATCCAATCTGAAATCCGAAATTATTAGGACATGTATAAATACTACACTTTAATTTACATCAACCTCCAAGTTATTACCTTTACAATTGCTAGATTTAACTAAATTGACACCATAGTACTCTCATAATTGCATAAACATGAATTTTTCTTAATGTATTGCCTCTTTTACAAAGAAAATATGCATATTAGTTTAACTTTGAGGCATAATAATACGATCCGATATCCGATCGATCCAAACTTTAAAATCCGATCCGATATAATTCGGATCGGATTGCATTTTCTAGAATCCGAAATCCGAAATTCCAATCCGATCCGATCCGTGCACAGCCCTATTCCAACTCAGTCGTTTTGAGTTCTAGGACCCACTTTTTCTATTTGAGACTAAGTTCATTTGATGTTTCTACCTCATTCGTTTTGAGTTCTAAGACCCACTTTTTCTATTTGACACTAAGTTCATCTGGTGTTTCATGACTTACGATGGTTGGCTCGGGTTGCTTAAGTAAACGACTATAACACTCACTCATAGCATATACTCCCTCCGATCCACAATAAGTAACTTTTTGGTCTTTTTTTGTGGTCTAAAATATCTAATTTTTTCAGATTTCAAGAATGAATTAATTTTTTTTTTAGATTGCCCTTGGAGTATATAATATTAGAGTATATATGTATTAGAAGTGTTTATGTGAAGAGATAGTAAATGTTAATATGGTCAATTTCATTGTTAATTAATGTTAAAAGGTGAATTTCTTAATTTACGTAAAAATAGCTAAAAAATCACTTATTATGGATTAGAAGGAGGGAGTACTATCTTGTTTTATTTCTCTAGCAAAAATGATTCCTTTCAATTTAAATTTCATTTTAAGTCCTTGTAAACAATGTTGACTTTCACAAAGTTGACATCTAAAACATAGTAATATTACACTCCGATAAAGTCTCCATGAGACTTGTACTTACTCTTCGTTTTTCCTAGATAAAACTAAAAGAGATACTAGCACGTTTACTTTCATATTCGTCCAAAACAAGAAATAATTTCAACTCTTTTTCCTAATAATTGTGCAAAGACAAACTAAAAAGGTTTAATTTGTAAACTACAAATCGAGTTGTCCAAACTGTACAAATTAACAGAGTCAAGAAGGAAAATAAGTAAAATACATCTAAACAGTGTCAATCCTTTCTTTTTTCTTTTCCTTTTCCTTTTCTTGCCTTTCCAATGCAAGTCTTAAACGGAAAACTGTTCTTTGGTTCAATGCCTTCTCAGCCTCCTCCCATTGGATTAACACCAAATCATTCAGCCAAAGCTTTTCGATTACAATAGATCACGACGTGTATTCAAATGGCTGCGGTGGCTGAGGCTCCTCGTCAACAGCCATCGCTGAGGCTGAGCCCTGTTGTCCAGCTGATCCACTGGTACTGAATGCAGCTAATGAGGGTGTATCGGTAAGAGCAAATACTTTGGGTTCATCGGGACGTAGATCTTTCAGAAGCACAAAGCCAGAAGGTGATGCTTTGATTGGCAAATATCTGCTTGTTTCTGAAAATTTTATGTACTTCTCCTGAGCAGGAACTACCCTAGCGGGATTTGTCAAAATCTCAAATAATGGCTCTGGTACTTTCAAATTCTCTGCAGGGGTATCCACCTGCCATCAGAAAGGTCACATTTTCTGAGCAAATAATAACAGTTTCAATGGCAGTGTACAATACAAGAGAAGCAAACTGTGAAGACAAAATGGGTAAACAGAAACTTATTTTAACCTGCATAGACGGAGAAGTAGAACTTGTGGCAGCAGAAGATGACTCCACACCAGATGCTCTCTCGGCACTAGCTTTCTCTGCCTCTTTCTTGCTAGCCCTGGCCTTGGCCCTCGCTGAAGTTGATAAAACAGCAGTAGGAAGTTTGACCGCAGAAGTTGTCGTGGCTACAGTAGTTGGCTTAGGATACTCAAATAACGACGGCTTAGCTTGTGATACAAACTCAAATTTTGGCGTTTTTAGGTCATAATTCAGCCCAATGAAAGCTGTGGGTGAGAATGCCAAGCTAATGAAATATATAAGCGGATACCAATACCAAAACTGACTAAAAACAGCTAGTCCAACAACTGCAGTAATTTTATCATGTTTTGTTTTCGAAAGTAACTTTATTGTCACATTCCTTCCACCAGCATCAAGAATTCCAGAGGCCAAGATTGCACCCATCTTACTCATGGTATCTTTATGCTTATCAAGGATAATTTTCTCTAGTTGCCGCCTGAAAAAGATAAAAGCAAAAGGCTATTAAGAAAAGGGATGATGGGAAAAACGAAGAAAGACTCAACACGGAAATTTGGGGGTAAAATACCTAAAGGCACCAACACGGGAATCACAAGCTTCACTTATTTGGACCATCACCATGGCCATGGCTATGAGAGCGCCTTGACGTACAAAATCAACTACATCTGATGTCAAAGGCTCCAACAATGAGATTGCCTCACTCAGACCAGTACCAGCACATGAAATGCCAACTGCCATAGCCGCACCATAGCGCACGTGTGGATTGTAAGACTCAGATAACAATGAGACAATACGAGGCATCTGCAAATTCAATGCAAAATTGCAAATAAACACAATTTGCATTTTTAGAACTGAAATTTTAGCTAATCCCTTTCTCTTCTTCTTTTTTTAAAAAAAATTTAGGGGGTATGGATAGGAGGTGGGGAGATGGGTACGCGGAACCAAACATTGCACATTTTTAGAAGACAGTGAAAACTAGTAATCCTGTTTAAAACTGAGACAATATAACACGACGAGGTCAATAAGAACGACATCACATCGGAAAAGTACCAACCTGCTCTGGATTAGAATACATAACAAATCCAAGCGCTAAGACTGCAGTCCGCCTGACGTCATCACTCACATCTGATACAGCAAAATGTAGCAACTGACGGATAGCCTTATTATTTGCTGTTCCCCTGTATGCTAATGCCAGAGCATACATGCCACCATAACGCAATATAGGGTCTTGATCCCTGGTCATCTGCTCGATCAGTGTATCTGCTTCTTCTTCTCTTCCATAGACTGTGAGGGATATCCCCAATGCCAAACCCCTGCATGCAACATCAGAAGGAAATGGTCAAGTACATGTTATCATATATTAACATCTGAAAACACTTCAATCATCCCCCACATTTTGAATGACATATGCAGGTTATCCTATTCATGTAAAGTAATATAGGTTATACTTTTATATATATCTAATTATTTATAACAGTCAAAATAAATAAAGCAAACAAACATATTTATTTGACTCCTCATTTAGTTGAATTAACATTATTCAAATAACTTCACAATTTTGACCTTATTTTATCCAGTCAGAATAAGTCAAAATTGTTCCTTTTATACATGCAATCAAATAAATCTCTGCAATTAATTGTTTTTTTTTAATTTTGTACTGCTAATCGAAATGCTTTACATAGTCTATAATCGTCCAGCTTTTGTGTTCTTTGCATTATCAAAGTAATCAATATAATGTTCTCTGAAGATACGCAAGCAAAAGATATTTCATACTGAGATAAAAATCAAAAGATACCCATTAGATGAATACAGTTCAAGTATTCAGCAAGCATAAGCCAAGCATAAGCTGTCTACTTTACCTGATTATCTTCTCGTGTTGCGTCTCATGAGCATAAGCAAGCATCTCACCTGCCTTCTCACTTGCAGTTCCAACCATTAATAAACCCATACCAATACCAGCTGCTTCTCCAGCAATGGCACTGTCAGTATATAGCACATTCTTAATGTCGTCATAAATGTCCTCATCAGCAGTTCCTAAAGCTGCCAACCCAAGCCCTAAGCAGGCACCATGCTGAATAACCTGCAGCCGAAAAAAAAGACATGCAATGTGAGAAAAAAATAGGAGGAACAATTACAGGACATCCGGCAAGCATGATCTAACTAATTACCTCCACGTCGGTACTCCGTAGACTATCACGAAGAAATTGCTTGATGCCCTCCCCATGATTTGCATGAATTAAACCAAGAGCATACAATGCACCACCTTCCGAATATGGACTGCCACCTCTCCCAGCCCCACCCTGCGGCAAGTAAGGGGCCATAAGTGATCTTCCTTGCTGCAAGTGGCCACAGTGAATAACACCTAATCCAGCTGTTGCACTAAATTTGGCCCAATTTGTTGCCCTGCTTAGCCAGTCCTGATAATTTGACCAGAATGTTTCTGTTAGAACAAACTGCTGTGCTGCAGACGCAATATGCTAAAGAGAAGATTATTTGCCAGATACTCAAAATCAACTCACCAAGTTCTCCCTAAGGAATGTATCTACAGTTGTTCCAGCATGCATAAGTGCATTTGCATATATCGTTGCACTGTGACACACACTGTTTCTCATCTCAACAGACTGCTTTATTGTCTTGAGAATAAGGAGATCTGACCTGTAGGACAGATTAATGGAAAAAGGGAAAACTAAGTGTTTTCATTCATGTGTCGAAAAAGTAATATAGAAAGAAACTTTAAAAGGCATTAATATTACTTGTTATGGCTGTATAAAAATTGCAAGGTCAACTTTATTGAAGTCTCTCCAGATAAAATCCCTTTGATCTTTTCCAGCCTCTCTGCATATATTGCTTCGTTTGGATCTGCACTAGAAGCAATCGGCATAGAAGGCTGATTTTCATCGCTCACTGCAACATCCTCTGCAGCAATAGCATCTCCAGTTTGTGCAGTATCAGACTCAGCAGGTATGAGTGCAGGTTCTGAAGGTGGTTGTAGTTGTGGACTGGAAAGTTGGTCTCTTACATTCAAAAGAAAAGCTTGGTGCTCATTCTCTACTAGGTCAAAAGCTATTTGAAATGCCAGTAGAGCATCATTGTTATTTTTTGAACGTAAAAGCTTCTCTAATATGCTTGCTACGCGCTCTGGTTTATCCAAAAACATAAGCCACTGACACATGCTCAAATAGTTTGGAGATGATTTTGGCTTCTCATATTCTTTAACAAGAAGATCAAGCACCTGTTGATATAGAAGCAATTAAATCGCTAGTAGTCTATTAATCTGGTATATAAATGTGAAAACAGTACTTCCTCAACTTAAGGTAATCATTTTCAGTATTTCACCTTTATCTACAACAAAATACATCCAAAGAAACGAAGATAACATGCAGATTTAGATCAGGGTGATCATACTGAGAAGGGAATTGAAGAAGGTGATGCAAACAAGGAAACAATTGGTGAGGTATAAATGACTGCTTTGAACAGAGAGCTAGTAGTACGTGAGAATTACAGAATAAGCTACTACAAAATTACTTATTTGCTAGTGACAACACAGTCATGGGAACAGACAAGGGGGCAACATCTCTGCCTTTTTTGGTAAACTCAAGCAAGCAGATCAGATTATAGAGCAACACTGAAAGGGGAAAAGAAGGGGGAAAAGCACAAGGCCTAGTGTGTTCAAGGATCAATATTGTGTACATATCATAATAATCGATACCTCACTCCGATATTCTCTGCGACTGACGAAGTTATGGGAGATATTACTGCAATATGATAGAGTTGCATCAACATTACCACTCTCTTTAATTGCTTTAACAACCTTATCCAGCCTTCTGCATTCAATAGCCATGCCAATGGCTTGTTGATATTTTTTCTCCTCTATACACCTAAGGAACGAAATATACATAATATATTATCAGTCTCACTTACTAATAAAAGAAGTATACATGCATTATCTTTTATAATATGGACAAAGTTAACATACTTATCAAGCATCCTCACAACGATAGCCTCCAACCTAGGATCCACCTTTACAGCTTCATCATTTGACTCGGCTGCCTTAGTCTTATGACTTGCATATTCATCCAGTGCTTTAGCTGAAAAGAGGACAAAAGCACATCAACAAACCCGGTGCTTATTAATTAAATGAGAAACAAAAAAGCAGCTTAATGATCTAAGATACAGCAGCTAAAACAAGTGAAAGCCTCCCACTTCGAGAGTTCAATCAACCCAGGAAGCACCTATCTCAAGTATTGAGCTTTAACACCATTAGACTGAATAATACAGCTTTTGGCCGATACAGTACAGAAACAACAGACATGTTTAAGCTAGGAATCAAGTCCTTACAAGAAAAGCTGCAAATATATGAATCTTAAGTAACTAAGTGCATACACAGATAGAAATTCATTGGAAGAGTATGCACAGATTTCATTTATTTACCAAGAATGGTATGAACATAGTCAGAGTCCTCAGTAACATCAAAAAGAGGGCCAGCTCCAAGGGCATAGGATAATGAGTCATTATGTCCACCCAAATGATAGAAAACCTGAAGAACATGTGATAATCTGTGAGAGGATTAGAGAGAAAATTATTCATCTTTTCATAAAAAATCAATTCTTTCTATGATAATCTTTCTCCCTCTCTCGGTCTTCTTTTGCACAACAATTATCTAGTGAAATAAGGCTAGACAGGGGAAGATGCAGTAAGGGTGAAGGACACCGCTTTGTCATAATTTTTTGTTAAATGTATATATAAATAATCTGCAAAATAGCATATAAGGTACAAAAACAAATAAGCGTGACACGGCTTGTCATCAAGCTCTTCTGGGATGGCGTAGCGTTTGATTTATTTAGGCAAGGTTGTGAGATCGAGCTTGCTTGATGAGGTTTATATCTATTTTTTTTTTTGTTTTGAGGATTTGTGCTGGAAAAAAAAGGACAAGGATTTGAGCCACTACCCGGAAGAATGTATCTCTTGAGATGGAGAGTATTTCTTGCCATTGTTTTTTTTTTTTTAATTTGGTCAAGTAAGTTATTTTGTTACTTTTTCATTATATCGTTCTTTTACCTTTTTTTTTTTTTGAATTTCTTAAAATAGTTTTACTTTATGAGTATACTCTATAAAATTATTTGGAGGTTCTCAAATAGATATTTTAATTTATAATTCAACTCAAATTTCAATAGATTATTCTAAAGCATCTTCCAAACTTTCAAAATCAAGTTCAAAATCTCAAAATGCATCTAACTTGGAAGAAAGGGTCAATGGTAGGAGCAACATCGTCAAATTGAAGGAGTTAATTTAAATTTCTTAAAGATTGGCCCTAAAAAAAGATTGGCAACTCAAAAATATTATCCAAATAACCATGATGCAATAACAAGCCTTTTCGAACCTCAAAATCACAACTTTTCTTACAGAAAATTTATGATAAATCTGTCGCTTTGATATTCAAAGGTTTGTTAGGTATAATAGGTTGTAACCAAATATGATTCAAGATAATTCATTAATCAAGAGGGAGGAAATGTATTTTTAAGTATAAGGTTTACACCCGGGCGGATGTACCGAGGTTGAAGCAGTGTCGAAAATGCCATTTTTTACTTCTTTATATGTGACACCGCTTAAGGAAAATTTTGCTTACGCCACTGAGGCTAGACATTTTTACTTTCTTATCTGCTCTGCAGAATAATTGACCTCCTTTCTTTTGGATCGGTGAGGGGAATTGATTCTAAACAAAAATTTTAAAAAATACCTTTGAAGCAACTAATGCTGCTAGTTGTCTTTGGTCATACTCTTCATCCTCGTACAAGCTTTCTCTGCAAAAGAAGGGGAAAAAAAGCTTTTGGTATCATAAAACACATATGATGAATGTGCAATCAATCAACTACTTTCCTCCAATCTTTCCCCCAAAGTTACAGTCTTTTTCGTTCTTTTTACTTCAACTGCTAACCCCCCCTCCAAAACCCACCCACCAACACAGTATTCTGAAAACTAAAGGGCAGCCCGGTGCACTAAGCTTCCGCTATGCGCAGGACGCCGCGAAGAGCCAGACCATAAGGGTCTATTGTACGCAGTCTTACCTTGCATTTCTACAAGAGACTGTTTCCACGGGTTCGACCCGTGACGTTGGTCACACGACAACAACTTTACCAATTACGCTAAGACTCTTTCGGTATTCTGAAAACTATATGAATAAAAAATACACCTTCTCTATAGTGAAAACTCAATTAGGGTTTAAACATTTAAATTGCACAAAACAAAAGAAACTAACGCATAAAACACACACACACACACGCAGAGACACACAAAATCAAGGTAAAATTAGGAGGAAATTGAAGTATTATTATTACATTACAGGGACAGAAGCGGAAATCTCAGGCCAGAAGTAATCAACGAAAGCATTGAGATTAGAGAGCGCGTGAAGTTTCAACTGCGGGTGACTTTCATTCAGCATTGCGAGTAAACCGCCGGCAGAGCTCACCGTCATTGTGGCTGCTGTCGCCATTATCAGCTTTTGTAAGATTAGCGTTTGGCTCTTTGAGAAATAAAACTAGAGCTTTTCTTTGGAAGAGGAACTGAGAAAATGGTAGAGAAAGAGATGACCAATTTGCTGGAGAAGAGTAGAGAAGAGAAGAGAAAGAGAGTTTATAACTTAGATTTCTTGTTCAAGACGGCAAGGGTTATATAGTTTGGTTTTCTTTCTTTTTCTTTTTTCTTTTTTTTTTGTTTACAAAATTATATTTTTATTTTTCTCTCTTTTAAAAAAAATATTATTTTTTAAAAAGATTATTATGTTTAAAAGTACTTTACAGCTTGGTTGGATGGATGTTACGCATTGTATCGTATTGTATTGTTATTTTAAATAAAATATTTGTTTTGATTGTTACTTAAATTTTATTGTACCGATTTGGTGTGGTCGCGTCGTTACATTGTCTTTTTCTCTCAATCTCACCCTTTATTATTATTAAATTATTTTATTTTATCATTTACCCTATCTTTTTTATATAGTAATTTTACTTTGCATCATAATTTTTCTTTATAATATTGCAAGTTTATTCTTCATAATACTGGTGTTTGATATCATGAAACGATGACAAACGACACAATCTATCCAAACATTGTATTTATTAAACGATACAGTACAATACAATACAGTACGATACGAAACATTATGAAACGATGCGTAACAACCATCCAAACAAGTTGTTAGGATTTGCCTTGTTATCATTTTTCTCACACTTGACCCCATTTGGTCATGATTTTTTCGAATTTTTTTTACCTTTTTTTTCTAAACTAGTGCATTGGTAGGTGTGTTGCGCAAGTATCCACTCTCAATGAGTATAAATTTTGTAAAGTTAAATAAATAAATATTAAATTTGTGTTTGAATTATGAAAAAAACTAAAAAAATTATGTAAGTTCATGAAAAAGATTATTGTTAATCTTATTTAATTGCACGATAAAGAAAGAAACTATGTCCCATATTAGACCTATTCAATCATCTTAGTCAAACAAATTAAGTTTACCTTTTAAGTTGATATATTCCATCAAATTCTAATATCTTTTATGTTAATTTCACTGAATTTTAATTTCTTTCAAGTCTAAATTCCATTGATACGAATATAACTAAAATCCATATCACAATCTCAAAAAACTATAAAAAAGGTGTTGTGCATTTCTTATTTCAAAATTATTAAGCGCCATCACTTAATTGGGAAGATATAGATAATAACCAAATCTTACTTCTTTAGTATCTCTTTTAGATTTTCTCGGCTCTTATAACTTCTTTAGGGGTTACTCTGATGGTAAGCAACCGGCCTCCACTTCCAACCAAGAGGTTGTGAATTCGAATTACCTCAAGGGCAAGGTAAGGAGTTCTTGGAGGGAAGGATGCCGAGGGTCTATTAGAAACAATCTCTCTACCCTAGGGTAGAGGTAAAATCTGCGTACACATTACCTTCCTCAGACCCCACTAGTGGGATTATACGTTGTTGTTGTTGTTGTTATAACTTCTTTAGGAAAAAATGACTTAGACTGTAAAATTTCAAAAGTTAAATGCTCAATTTTTTGTTATATTTAACTTTACCAACATGAAATATTGGTGGCAAGTAAGTCATATGATGAAGCATCCATCACCTTAAGTGAATGTTTAGCAAACTACAATCTACTCTTTATAGGTATTCTTATCCATATATATAACAAACTGTACATAAATAAATACGAATAAATAACATATCTTACTCCAGCAATATCAAGCACCTATCCAATAAGTTAGGGGACTATAAAATTTTAATAAAAGACACAAAACTGTTAACCTAAACATGTAAATCTTTATCCGATATTAATCATAACAATAACATGTTCATCTAAGCCTTCAAATAATCAACTACCGTTAAAGAGGGAAACAAAAAAAAAAAAAAAAAAAAANTCGAAATATGATGGTACTACAGACCCACGTAACTGCATTTACAACCGGCGTAAAAGTCAACGACCTGACCAAACAAGAAATTGAATCAGTATTTGTCAAGAAATTTGGAGAAACACTCACCAAGGGTGCATTTACCTGGTATTCTCTTTTATCTGAAAATTCTATTAATTCTTTTGCTGAGCTTGCAGATTCTTTTATTAAAGCACATTCGGGAGCACAAAAAGTTGAGAAAAGGATGGAAGATATTTTCAAAATCAAACAAGGGGATTCGGAGTTGCTTA